TGTTTATTTATTATTTACACCGTGGAAAACTAACGTGTTCAAAAAAATATATATATATATTTTTTTTTGAACACGTTTAAATAGCTGCAGAAACGATTTGGAGGGTCTATACCAGCTGCCATGTTAATGAGATCTGGAGGAAAAAACTGAAAAGCAGGCACCCAGGATCCAACTTGCGCTAGACCCTGTTGAACCAGGGACTTCCCCAGAAATAACAGGACCACCGTCTCAATTTTGCGCAAGAACAAACAAACAAAGCACTTTTCAGATTTTGCAAAAACGCTAACGTGGCACCTGTGGAGGCCAAACATGAATCTCTTCTCAGGTTCCATGTTAACATATATTGCTCTTCAAGGAGCTGGGCCAACGGGCCTCTCGCCAGGTCGAAGGTTCTACTACTACTGGCCAGTTCAGATCTACGTTAAATTTCTTTGATACCATGAGCCCCTGCAACCCCTGAATCCACTTTTCGCCAGTAACTTAAACGGTGAGCATACCCACGTTTAAATAGCACTTTTTGGATTTTGAGTGCTATGTTAGTTTTCCGGGGAGTATATATTTATTTAGATTTATTTCTTTATTTATTACTATTATTGTTACTATTATTACTACTACTTCTTTTTTGGGGGGGTAGGCCGTAGAGGTAGCAACGATAGGAGGTAGCTAGTATCTACAAGTATCTACTACTTAAGACGCAGGATAGCTCGCGCTTCTTCAAGAAAGCTCCCCCGACGCCCTGAACGCTGCGGGGAAGCTTCCTTGAAGAAGCGCTCGCGCTAATGATAAACCTCAGACTCAGTGTCCAAAGCGACGCGTCCAGACTCCAGACTTTGAGGTTTGAAACTGTGCCTGCAGCGATGTTCACCTCCTTCAGATGCTTCACAGATGCTCGGGAAGTGAGAGCAATCCTTTCAACTTCTTGGTTTAAGTGTGCTCCAAGCTTTAAAACCAAATATAGCCAACCATAATCGATCTTCAATGGAATGGAGGCAACCAAGCAATGGAATCTTCGTTGATTCATGCCTATCAGTTGAAGAGATTGTTTCAAGCCGCACCCAGGATGGCTGTTCCGACTATCAAGGGAGGCCCTTGCAGGAGCAGTTGCGCATGAACTCTGACATGGGCGGAATCTTTATGCCACTAGGGTTTCATCCGAGAAGTCGCTAGGGCGGTCGATGAAAGATTCTGTGGGAAGATAACTGAGCACGCTGAGGTTTGCGTACATCCTTCTCTTTCTTTTCGCTCCTTGGCACTGAGTTGTATTGGCGGAAGCCATTGACATGCCTCACATGAGCAACCATTGTTTTTCAGGCTTTACTAAAGTAGTCTACGGCATGCTCTATTTGATTGTCTATGATCAGTATTCGCTTGTGAACGAGATAGGGCCCCCACACAATAGATAGTGTATTTGAGTTAAATACCAAATATATAAATGCCGCCACACACATAGAGAATCTCCAGTGAAGAGCTGAAGAGGACTTTGAAGTTGGCCCCAAAGAGTAGAGTTTCCAAACACACCTGTAGCACTTTGTGCTCAAATATCACGCAAGGTAGCCTGCACTTTGTTTTTTCAGAGGCACACATACTCGTTTTCGGTGCGATGCATCCTAGGAAACCTTTGTTGGCCTCACAAAGGCACCCTCTGGTTCTCAGCACTCCAAAGTCATGGCAACACCGCCAACTCTAACGGGGTGTAAAAATCAGTGTACACATTGTTGAAGGTAGTTTGCTGAACGTGAGTTTCCGGGGTTGTTGGCTTCGTCCCTGGCTCAGCGACATGGACCTCCGAGTGGGGGGCTACCAGAGGGAGGGATGCTGATTTGGCATGGCCGTCAATTGATGCAGCCGTTTCTTTCAGCTTTCCAACCCTACTGTACTTCCACTTGCAGATAACGCCGGCTTCTAGGCACCCAAAACGAAGCCATGTAGACCAGATGTTAGATATTTTTGATCAAGGTTTGTGATACCGGGCTTGAAGACGCTCCTGGGATCTGCACCATATGTGAACCTCAATTTTTTGCTGTCGTTCACTGCCGTTTTGGCAATCTCAAAACCTTGGTGTGGGGTCTCCAGTACAGATGCGAACACTCAGGCTACTGTCACATGTTGTGCGGGAGTTCTTTGTTCAACCATGACAGTTCTGTCCCTCCTGTATCCTCCTATTCGATCCTGCTTGGTTTCTTTGTTGGAGCTTCGAGAGTGTGGATTGACCCGGAGTTGGCACACCGCAAAACAATGTGCCTGCTTCTTGTACCATGCGTCCATTTTGTGTGTTGAGACTGAACAGTGTATTACAGTGTATGCTTTTTGTATCCTCCCTGCCTTTCTTTGCCAATTGTCAAATGAATATCAATATACCTTGTTGGCTGTTTTTGTGGGCAATGCAGTTGCTCGCTGTTGTCACACTAGCCGTCGGTCATTGCTCACGGCAAGTCCTTATGTTTAAGGGGTTAGGATAGGACCTTAGGATTTCTTTGCCTGATCTCATTGCAAGGAAAAGGGAAGGACAAGAACATGCCATGAAAAGCTGCGGAGCGGCAAAGTTCTGGCAAGACGCCTAAGTTCCCCGCAAGATATTCGCAGGTTCGAGTGTTTGCAACCTTCGCCTTATAGTGTCCCAGCCAGCAAAGCCCCGCCACAGCAGCACCAGTCATTCACTGTGTCAAAGCTCAACAGCCCCATTCGTGTTCTGGTCGGGTCTCACACTCCGAAAGATCTGAAACAACCGCACCGGAACGGCCGTGTCAGGCCGTGTGCCAGTCATCTCACGTCGATGAAGTCAACCGTTGTTTTCGACGCCGTGAGCGATGCTTTGCTCAACTAGGTCACCATCGGGATTTTCAACTTGATCATGGCAGTGTTCATTGACAATGTGACCGATGGCAGCACGAAGAAGAGACAACGCCAGCTGGGGCAGAATGCGCCCAAGACGGAGTATGTGGCACGGCACATGGTTGGTGGGAGCTTGAGGTCTGTCAACGAACCGCGGTTGGAGCACTGCCAGCACCCTTTCTTGGGATGCTGGTTTTAATGAGGGCAACTTCAGACATGTAGGCAGGAAGAGGAGTTGACTGCTACCCAACCGGGGGGGATTACTGAGTTCCCGGACAGATTGGTACAACAAACTCCATAGTCCAGGGATTTGATCCAAAGACCTGTGACACCAAAAGGCTCGTTTTGTGTTGTTGGCGGTGCGTTAGCATTGAAACATATGGCAACCGGTGCATTGCTCAGGTCATAGCAAACACTCTCAGACACATAATCCTGGTGAATCTCCTAAAGAGGGAGGCCAGCTGGTTGGGAATGGGAATTGAGCCAGTCACCATGAGGTCCCGAAGGAGGGCCGTTTGGATTCGTTGAAGCTTTGCTTCGTGGATTCGTTTCGGTGCGAACAGACATGGGTGTCACGAATGCAGATGATCTTTACTTAACTGAGAAGGCCTCGGACTTCGTTTTTATGGAGTATATCATTCTACTAAGTCAGTAACTGAACTAGGATCTTTTTGGTGACGCAGATGTTTGGACCTTGATAATGATCGGCACTTTGACAGGCTGAGGAGGAGCTCAAAGAGGATGAACGAAATGGGGCAGCTTGGCCGTAGCTTGCAGACCAGTTGAAGAGAGGAATCCAATGGATAGGGCTCGCACAACCACTTTTAATGACTTGAAACACCCTGAATGCATGAGAGATGCTGTCAGATCACCCTTGGTCCTTCGTAAGGCTGGGCCTTTTTTCTCCCTTGTCCAAGAGCCATTTGGAAGAAACATCGACACACATCCTCGACGAGGGGAGGAGAAAGACCGCCACTTTGTTTCGGACGACTGAAGGCCTTTGCTGGGACTCTTCAGCAAGCCCTCAAGCTCTAAAACATCTAAAGACCCGAAGAAGACTCAAGCGGCACCAAACCAACTGAGGGCAACGATGGGAGACGCATTTCCAATACCCTCAACGAGAAGCTCTTAGCTCTCCAGGAGATGTATGGTGCGATACTCAGCTTGCGATGCGCCAAGAGACCCAATAGCGATTGCTGAAGGAAGAAAAGACTTGGAACATTTGGATAGTCCAAGAACTCGTAATAGACTCCAGTTACAGAGCACACCAGAAATGAATTCTGAGGCTACAAGCCACACACGACCGAAGAATACAATGAACTCACAGACAAAATTCGGGACGAGATGGCGGAACGCGACATTGCCGCTTGGCCGGGCGGTGGACGCTGCTCTTCCGGGCAGAGGCGAATCAGAGGGTCAAGATATCAGTTCAACAGTCCATTGGCCAATCAGCTACTAGTAACAGGTGCACGCTAGTAGTAACAGGTGCCTTACTAGTAGTAACAAGAAGCTATTAGAAACAAGTGCCTTACTAGTAACAATAAGAATTTAATTAGAATTGTAATCTTGGGGTTTCCGAAACATTTGATCCTTACGACTATCCTTGCTTGTGCTATTCTGGCCTTTTGAGATGAATGCATTCAGGTTATATAAGCCTGTTCTATCCTTCGAACAAAGGACTCCAGGTGTTGAGCTGAAGGTTGGTGCATTTGTGCTCCAAACAGCCAGCGAACGTCCTGAGCATCCATCCAAATGGGATCCATCCATCCAAGCGGTGCCGCGGTGCACTGCTTGAGGTGGTGACGAAAGATCAGTTCAACCACTGGCTCACGACTGAGAAGGAATTCATCGGCAGGCACAATATCGCGGTTCTAAGAGCTTGCGCGATTGTGGGAAGACACTCCAGATCTGAACCCTGACACGTACTGTGTAAACTTATTGGAAGAATCAAAGCTGCAATTGTTTCTTCCCAGCGAGAGCATCGTCATCGTCCTTATGGTTAGTTGTTGCATGCATTTTCCAACAACGTGGCTATGTCTCATTTTTTGCATCACAGGCCCCTTTCCATCACATTGTCCCTTCTTCAAACAGAAGGCAGTTGTCAGTTGTCTCTAAGAGACTGGTCAGAGCTAGGGGTGATTTGGAGAGTTCAGGACTTCTTCTCTTGGAGTTTGGCCGGAGGACTTCCACAACTTGTGAAATCTTGCGGACAGTTGGAGTCATCCCCACGGGCTGCCAGGCTGGATGACTCTGAGATCGATTTGTCCTGCAAGTTTGACCTTTTCGATGTCCTCGACGCTGACCTCAGCGGAGAGCTCGAGTTTGAGGCATCCAGAAGACTGGGTTGTCTATATCAAATAGGGATAGTGACATTTCTATCTATTAATTGGAGCACGATATAGATATGCAATTTCCAGACACATTGGCGGGGAAACCTTGTGTTGTAGCATGCCAAACATGCTGCAAGAAAAGTGAAGCGTCAAGGCCATTGCGTCTGCGTATATCTGCAAACAACCATGGATCTGGATTGTAAGACAGACTCCTGCATGAAAGAAAAGAACTGTCTGACAGCCAAATACGGGATTGAAAGTTCTTAGCGGCAGTTCTTAGACAGTGAGCGTCTATATCGCTGGCAGAGTTTTCCAATCAAGATTTCACCGATTCATGTGGTGGAGGAAATGGTCGATGGACTACTGAAATGTCGTGGGCCAGCGTCGAAGACCGACATCATTGCCATCAGGCTGGATGAGGAACTGAGGGAACCTCAAAGACCACGGAGACTCTGGTGGGCGTCCCCTCCTAGAAGAGTTGTTCAGATGTAATGTGTTTTGGGGCATGACTTGGCCAGTGTTACTAGACCAACTTGTAGGATTGTTGTGCAATGTATATAATAGTAAATCTAGGCTCTAGCAAATGAGTTTTTGCAAACAGAACACTGTGACTCTATATTACGACAATGTCCATTTTCCAGTGCCGACAGAGCCGTCAATCTGTGTCAGCCGAGAGGCTTAAAACAGCCTTGCTCGTGAAAATGATGACGAGATTATGTGAAAAGCTGGGAATCGACGATCTGTAATGTGTAACATCAGGGTGGAGCAAGTGCAGCAACACAGGGCTTACATTCAAATTTTGGATTGGCAATCCCGCCATATCCAGCCAGCGTCGTAGGATCTTTAGAGGTATAGCGCCACCCTTGTGTTTTCGTAGCTGGAAGTGCGTGCAGAGGTCTTGGCTCTGCCAGCTCGACTTGATTTAGAATGCACAATCCTGCGAAGCAGGTCTAGGGAAACGGCGCCAGGCATCCAAGGTTTCTTACCTGCAAAGCAGAGATTTTGATTGCCTTGAGCCGGCCGCGCAGTATGATCTCGAGTTTATGAAGGCTTTGCCGATTTGATCTTAATTGAACCATTTGTATCCATTTGTGTTGATTCGAAGCAGTTTAAGTTTAAGTGAATAATGCTTGAAGACGCACAAAGGACGCCGGTGAAGAATGCCACTAGCTTCGCCCAGCTGGCAGTTCACCACGGAGTGTGGGGGCTGTTTCAAACAAGCTTCCTTCTTGAGCGTATGCAATACAAAAGCATCTATATACTGAACAACACATCTATGTTACGTTTTCAACCACTGCTACCGCTACCCTCTTGCAAGGGCCATTTTGGATGGACAACAAGGTTGGGTGAAAATAGGTGCCCAAGACATGAAGCATTTATTGACTCTTCAACCTTGGGGGGGTGCAGACGAAATGTTCTTCTCTGCCCTTGCCACGTGCGTGGTGAAGAAATGCAGTACAGGGGCGAGACGCGGCTTTTTGATGCTTTTTGCACATTTGCACATGCGGTTGTATTTGGAGTAGCAGAGCCGCATGGGAGGCGAGTAAAACGTTTTTGAGAAGGGATATGATATCATGGAAACCTCAAGAGAATTTAGAGCAGTGAATCGTGCACCCTAAATGTACTGGGCGGTTTCGGCAAAGCACCAGGAAGTTCAAGGTTTTGAAGTCATCTTGCGTGCTGTTTTGGAGAGACAGCATCGAATACAACCGCTTAGATTCTAAGATCTGAGAAGATCTCCTTTGGGAGGCAAGGGAGTCTGGGGCAGGAGAGGTAGGGTAGCGAAGAGGTAGCTTAGTAGCTTGACTAGATAATTTAGAAAGCGAGAGGAAGCTAAGAACCCCTCCGCATGGTGGCCGATTTGATTCACAGGTTTTGACGGACACTTAGCTTCAAAACCTTACTTCGACTGTGAGTGGTGCCAATGTAGATCCTGCTTCCCAATAACGCATAGACAATGGAGCATGTTCAACTTCCAAGGGTGTAGACTGCAGACTCTTTTTTTCTTGACTGCCCACAATAGGTCCCGTTGCCGAAGTTGGGAATTCTTTAACGGAGGAACAGGCTTTGGAGCATTTGAGCCGAATTCGAAGGTTCAGATCCCCTCCACAGTCTGCCCTCGGAATTCACCAGTAGTTGCCCCACGCATCTGGAAACAGGAGGGGAGAGTACACTTGTCAATCAAGTGCGGCATTTTGAGCATCAGTGCGAGTGAATTTGGAAACAAACATGCAAGCAGAGTGCGAGAGCGAGATTTGTTTCGGCGCATGGAGGCTGCTGGACTGTTTGCAATTCTAAATATGTTGTGTTTAATGCGATACCCTCTCTCATCCGAAGAACGTCTTATACACTTGGTTTCTGTAGACAATCATCTTACTGTACATGGGAATGGCAAGCCACACTTCGACATTGGTTTTCAGTTAACTCAATTTCCAGGAAAAATGGTGATGGAACCGAAAGGTGAAATGGTCGGAGCACTTGAAGATGTTTCAAAAAA